TCTCTTATACACATCTTTTCTTTGATTTGTATTGAATTTTTAAAATAAGTATGCAACTTGATATCCTGTAATAGTGTCTTTGTAATTAAATGTTGGGCATAGCATTTTAAAAATAAATTCTTAAGAACATAATGATTCTACCAACACATTTAAAATATGCTAAAAAAAAAAGACTTAGATAAATATTACATAATTCCACTTATTTTGGCCCGGAGGCCAAATTGCATGTAAAATTACAATGGAGTTGAGGAGACATGTGATTTCCAGTCCCCCACTACCCCCACTCTGTATCTTAAGATACAGAGCAATTACTTATTGCTTTTATGTGAGGTGCGATTAGAATTACCTCTGTTAAGGAGTGCTTGCATAGCGGACACCGAGGATTATGATCCAAACACCTATTGAGACAACCTGTACAGAAGGTATGACCACACGGTGTTGTTACAGGTTTGTGAAGCAGCCGAAAACAAAGGCTACATTCGTAGTCGCTTCGAGTTAGAAGGTGCGGTGCAATCAACCTTGGTTCACATGGTTTCAACTCTGTACCTACAAATGAAAATGTTTTCATTCCAAGGGTTTTAACACATTAACTGCCAAGACTTTTCTCCTACTTTCATCCCATACACCATGTTATCAAGGGCGCCACCATATGAAAAACATTTCATTCAACTGTATTGAAATCACTAATTCTGGGTTCTTACGACCACTGCCAGAGAGTTTATGTTCAATACAATAGTGGAATGTTGGAGAGGTGTGGACGTGAATGTAAGTCCCTGGCAGCGAATGTATTAAAGTGCTTCACATTATCACACCAGTCATCGGATCAAATACCTTATGAACAATCTGTTCCCTGGGACCGATTCTATAATGCCGTGCGACTTCTCAGTTATTATGGTATAATCATTATGTATAAAAGCATTTATAAGAACACTGAAATTAGACATACCAGTAGTGGGGTCAGAATGCTTTCGTTTCTTTTGAGCGCACACTGCACCAATATCAAAGGCATCTGAAAAAATACAAAATAATAATTAAAATTAAATCTCTCGCTAAAATAAAAACTAAAGGTTGCACCTAATTCAGCCACGCAACAATGTATTTGGGATACCTTTTCCCCAATACTAAATTGATACAACAATATCTAATGTGTCTCTTTCATAACAAATTGTTTTCTAATCATTGTAAAATATTTAATTAATTATTAATTAATTAATAATTCATTCCTACCTTTGGTTTTTACTTCATCTTTACAGTAAGTGTCTTCAGAATTGCTTCCTGATTTAGAAGCTAAGCTCTCGCTCACCTGTACAAAAACAAATTAAAATTATTTCAATCATTCAATCAATCACGCAATAAAAAGTCTTTTCCACCTCCCTCTCCCCCAACCTCTGTTATTATCAACTCTTTTCCACTCCCCTCTGTTATGAACAACTCTTTTCCACCCCTCTATTATTAGCAATGCTTTTCCACTACGTCAACAACTCTTTTCAACCCCCTCTGTTATGAACAACTCTATTCCACCCCCTCTGTTATTAACAACTGTTTTCCACCACCTCTGTAATAAACAACTCTTTTCCACTCTCTCTGTTATTAGCAACTCTTTTCCATTCCCTCTGTTAGTAACAACTCTTGCTTCAACCATGGAGGTATTATTTAGAAGATCACCTGGCAACAGATTCATTTGACTCAACAAACCAATGTGTTCCACGCCAATCTACCTTATTATTAACAATTTTTTGGATAGCAAGTACTTGGCAACAGCAGGCTTTTATACGCTTCAACACAGCAGTTTTGCGATAAACCATTTGATTTTAACCCATTGGATTTTTTCAGACTTTTAGTATGTATATGTGTACATTTCAAGGACAGACTCTGAAAAAAATTTCTGTTGCAATTAGTTATGTGTTGATTACAATTTTGTCTAAAGATTGACTGCTTCAACTATGAAACTGAGGCGGAAAATAAAACTGAAAACTACTTTGACTTTGAATTGAATTTTCGAATAGTTAACCATTGTTAACCCTAAAAATCCTCAATCATTCCTTAATTAACATCTGTTAAAATTAGAATTATTGGGTTTTATCCAATTTATAGCAAATTCAAGTTAAAATACACCATACTTTTAAAGCTTATGTAAATGTTTTATTAAATTTGAAACTTTTTTTTGTAGAAAATATTAATATATTTGATATTTCTTGAAAAATATGCATTTTCTTCAAGGTGAAAACGATTGCGCAGCCATGGTGATTGACTGTAAGTAGTACGAATTGAGAAAAGAAGGTGCTCTCCATTTCGCCATGTTCAATTTCTTGGTAAACTAAGCCTGTTGAGCATTTGGTGGCGGGGAACACATTAGACTTCAAAGGCATCACGCAATCATTTTCATGCGGCTGTTTGTTCTTGGCTCATTTGCAGAGCACTATGCGCGGAGCTTTTTCGAGTGACATAAGATTTCATAACCAGACCCCACTATGATGGGCCTGAGGTAGTCCCCTTCATATATGTGAAATACACACCACCCCCTCTCCCCAACCTGTCTCTTATACACATCTAGATGTGTATAAGAGACAGGAGAAAAATCAATNTCTTGAATAGGCCACTAGTCATCCTACTATTTCTCTTCTTTTTCTACCTCTTCTTTTTCTTCTCCTTGGCTACAATTCTTTTTGTCATAATAAACAATTAGCATCATAATTCAATTAATAAAAATCAATAATCATGTAATAATATGTAAAATATTTTCAATTACCTTGGAGCATACACCAGTGGAAGAGCTTTGGTTGCTAGTGTTACTACTCGCACTTTCTCCTTCAATTGATTGGTTACTACTCGAACTCCCTCTGTCACCTGATTAGTTACTACCTGTACTCCCTCCTTGTACTGATTGGTTAAAACCTACAAGTATTGCTGACGCCAGGTCATCCAATCCAGATGAGAAGACACTGAATGGTGTTGTCATTCCATGAGCACACCTACCAAGAATACCATGATGTTGAAGTTCCGTACATTTTCAATTTTCCGATGTTGGTAACGGAGTTAAAATTTTCTGTAGTACCTGGGGAAGCATGTCAGTAATAAAAACAATTTTACTTGAAAAAAACATTTCACATCGTGACATCAGGGCCATATATTGGAACATCATGACTATATATGGGCACATCATGACCATTTATGGGCACATCATAACTATATATGGGCACATCATGATTCTATATGGGCATTAACAGTTTGTTATGTTTTTTGTCCAAGAAGATTTGATTATCTGGATAAAGATTAATATTACTACTGATTAGTTAAAAATAACTAATGTTAAAACAAATTTTTTAAATGGAAAAAAAAAGTTTTTAAGGCTGTGAAAGAAAATATAAGGATCATCATAAATTACAAGTAACAAAAGAATATCAAATACAAAAAAAAGCAAAAACAAAGCTTACTTTTATTTATTTTCGCTTAATTATTAAAAAAACATTTAGCATTATAAATGTTTTTTGAAAGCCATTAGATAAAATGTTGACTAATTCTTAATTTCTGAATGAATCCAGTAAAGATACCTGTACAAAGCAAGTTTTAATAAAGGTACGTGTGTCATAATTTCATCGATAGTTTTCATATCAGGAGATATTATCTCCCAGCCTAAATAGAAAAAGTTGTATAACGTATGCATCAGTGCTTATATAAGAATGAGCTGCATTATGATTGGCTGTTACGTAAGTCCACTGACCTGCCCTTGTGGAACCAGATTATATGTACGGTTTCGTAACAACTATATTTACTATTGCAGTACTATTTACATAGTTTCTCACCTGAGCCAGTGTTGTTTTAGCGCTGGTGACATTGGGGTCAAGCGATAGTCCCTGAAGTAACGACATCAGAGCTTCTTCATACTTCCCCGTCATCATAAGTGCGCGCTACTTTCTGAAATATCCCTTCAAATTTCGAAGAATAAAAAAATTAATTTGTGTCTTCATAAAAGTTCATAATAATTTGTTTAAATAAATTAAATAAAATTTTAATAAAATGTTATTAATGATTCACCTTTGGCCACAGGGGTTGAAATTTGCATGATCTGACCGCATTTCATGTATCTTTGAACTACTGGCCACTAACAGTGGTCGTGAATCTTAGCAGATCACTGCCATCTTTATTTGATGTTTGTACAATAATTGTTGTGGTCATCGTACAGTAATGAGTTCGATAATTGCATCAACATAACCTGAAAATCCTTCGTTCCTGTACAAAATAGAAGTTTTGAAAGTAAAAAAAAAAATAGAATTGAAATATTACTGGTAAACAGATTGCATGCAATGTGAATGAGTGGAATTTCTTGTTTTATTAAATGAGACTAATCTGATAGATTATTTTTTGATTGTATTAATCTCTTTTATTTGTGCTATATAAAAACCACACATTATTATTTATTATTTTCAGGCATATGATTAGGCCTATTATTATTTACAACATATGTAACAACTTTTTTTAAACTCAGTGAATATAAAATGCTTCTGATTACTCCATTCAAAATTCACCAAATAAAATATATTTAATTAAATTATAACTTATTTCATCCATACCTTCTACACTTTTATGTACATCATCTGTTTCTCTTGCTATTTATCACATGTCAAAGGTCATGAACTTGTTGTGTAAACTCTTTCTTCCAGTAACAGTAGAATTGAACAATCTGAGAAAATGAAATCAACAATTACACGTTGATTATTAAAAAAATCTTTGATCTGCTCAAATATGTTTACCAATATTCCTCTGCCTGATTTCAGATTTGCTCCATTTAAAAACATCCAATCAATTCATTAATTATTCCAGTAGTCTTCAATTCAATAAATACTACAAACAAGTTAAATCATTTTCTATGAGTATAAATGGAGAAAACAAAACTCCTCTTTAACTTTAACACTACTTTTAACAGGTATAAGCAAACAGTCTCAATTTTCTTGTTGCTTTTGTCTTTACTGCAATTTGCAAACTAATATGAAGAACTACAGATATGCCTGTAAGGAGCAATACCATGGCAATCCATTGCAGTTTATAAATAATTCGCTAAGTTAAAATAGACTTGCCACAAGTCCCTTTTAATTATTTTTTCTCATTCTGGACAGCACCACCAACGAGCAAGTTAATTTTGAGACAGAAATAATGAAATCCTAATCATAAAATAAAGAAATCGAGTATGGGATGCCAAATAAATTAGGTAAATAATAAATTAAACCCAATATTAGGGCCTGGAACCCAGGCTAAAAAAGTACAGTACACTATAAATTTTCAGGAATCAAATCCAATTACATTTTAAAAAGAGGATTAATTATGCTGAACTTGTTATTGCAAATCCCAAATAAATTTA